GCAAATTTTTGACTTTACCACAAAAAACTTGGATGGTCAGTCGTAAACACTAATAGTGAACTCCGGCAAGTTCCATGTTTCCTGAGTTTCAGGGTTCTGACCTATCAGCAGCCAGCAGATGCCATGTCCATCTATATTGTAGCCTTCCAAAAAAAAAAAAACAACTTTACAGGAAAAGAAAACTTCACTTTTATTGTAAGTCTATGTAAAAAAGGTTTACTTCCAAGCTGTTTTTTTGGAGCATTTCTATTGGTCCGTACATCAAGACATTTTCACACAAATAAAAATCAGGATTCATTTTGGACAATGATGATACGATATTTTGTACATAGTATTATGAGTTGAAAACTCCTGTCCCGGTGCATCAATAGTATTAATTTACTAAATCTGGTATTTGAATGACTCATGTGTATGGTTAAAAAACAGAACATAAATAAAGATGATATTATTACATGATATTATTGATGAATATTGTTTTTCACCAAGCAAAACTCAGTGAACTCAACGCAAACTGGTTATTCTTAAAGACACAGCACAGTATTTTACTCAAAATTCTACATCATTAGGATGTTTGTGATTATGTTCATACTGTTTCTTTAGCACATTCACTGTGCACTGAGGAGTATCTAAACTAACCTCTGAAGTTTTTAAATATTGCTACACTGCTCCACCATATTGGAATTACACTTTTTTTCAGTTTAATCTTTGACACCATACATGACGCCAACTGACTACAGCAAATCACAGACCGTCTTATATTGCATATTCACTAATTGGTCACTCACTGCATTCAATTCCAAATAATGACACAAAAGCAAAATGTCTGAAATTTGTTTCTGGATTGGAGAGACCCAGTACACTCATCTACTCATTTAAAAATTATGCTCAGGATTTGTCAGCCAACTCCAGCTAAAAGGAACAGCTTTCCTGACAATTACGTTAACGTGACCACTCACTCACGTCATTTAGCTCCATACAGCAGAAACATAACCAGCCAGTGTGCTGACAGCTGATGAGCATCCAGCACGTACATCATTTTGGAGTTTACAGCTAACAGGTGAAGTGCAAATCCTTCAGGTGACGAAGAGAAAGTCACAAACATCTGCTGCACTGACCGAACTACTATGTTTATTTACAGATTAAAAACTTATTTTTGTTGCAAGATATAGTGACCCCAGCTGGCTAGATTACTCAAAAAGGCCTAGCACACTAGCTTGTGGAGATAGATGGAAGTTAACTGGCTAACACAAGTGCAGAATCGGACCCGAAATGGCACCTCTGAGAAGCTGCCAAAAGGCTGCGAGGATTTTCAGGTTCATTTCATGTTCAGAATCATCTTTTTCAGGCTCATACATGTAGGGTTGGGTTAATATGATGCAATTTGCAGCCTGGGCCATATTTAAAGGTAATAAGTAAGAAATGCAAGAAGATTTGTCGCAGAGGGTGTAAATGAAGAGGTTCTAATGAATATGCAATTTGCTGGGGTTCGCACCCACACAGCAGAATGGTAGGAGGCGAAGAAAAAAGACATTACGAAACACAAATTTTAAGGCCATTTTTGGGAAGGTAATTAAAAAAAATATGAAATTGTTTACGGAAATATTTATTTTTGATAGATGTTAAAAAAACAACCGTGCTGGGTCTTTAAGCTACGGCAGCGTATGATAAAAGTTGACAGGTTCTGTACACTTAAAAGGTTAAATTCTATGATACAATGAATTGTACTTAATATGACCTGGGACATGAACTAAAAAGGTCAGGTTGACCCTAAATAAGTTTCGTCTGAGTGAATAATGTAAAACCACAGAGGATGTCGAGACTTAAGCAGCTGATACTGCGTGGGCAAGCTATATATGGAAACATTTCATACAAAAGAGATGACACTCTAAAGCTGTGCAAGTCATCATACTGTAGGTCAAATCACATGCGCCTAAAACACAAAGATAAACAACAGAATGATCAGTTATGGATCACCCGTTACGCTAGGTCCACAAAATAAACCAATAAATAGTTTTATTTGTGACAACATAACACATTTTCCTGTTGGGAGATTCTATTTGCTTCGAAATGTGAATTTCTGAATACCTGAAATTGATAAAATACCCATCTTTAGTGAAAGGAGCGGGATGCGGACAGAGTGAGTCAGGCTGTGTAGGCGTGGGTTGCTGATTTAGACAGAGAGAAAGAAAGAGAGAGAGGGAGAGTTTGCGAGACAGCGCAATAGTGTGAATCCTGGGCAAACATCGTGTAGCGTGTACACGGCACGCTCATATGACACAGAGAGAGCCTCTGAATCCCAGAACCATTAGTCCAGAAAGGACAGATAGATTGGGCTTCCCTGTGCCCTGTCAGCAATGCTACTGCACTGTACTATCAGATATCCCTCTAGTGAGTGAGGGGACAGACTGGTCTTGCTCTGGCTTATTTTATATCCAGTGGCCTGATATGAAGCCAGGCCTGGCGCACACACTTGACCTGGTAGGGTTGGGTGATATTCATTGGCAATGCTGAAATATTCCAGTAGTAGGCTTGACACAATCATGAAATGTTAGCTGATGATTAAGTGCCTTTTAAATAACTTTGATTAACAATTAATTGTGTTTTGTTCACTCTATGCAACTATTAAAGCACAAACCTAAAGTGGCTAAACAGACTAAGAAACAGTCTAAGATTTGATGTAGCGGAAGTCATAATAGCACAGAAAACATCACAGCAGCAGCTTTTATGAAAGAGAATGAAGACAAAGTCCTCCTTTATAATGTCTCTGATATAGAGGACTTATTTTATGTCCTTATTAATGTATTTACCTAATTTTTTATGAAACATATTGTTCTGTTGGTGGAGCAGTTCATTTTCAGACAGGATGATTTCTTTGAGAATTATCTGCATGACTTTGAAGGTAAGTTAAGAATCTTATGGCAAATTATCCAACAAGGTTAAATTAACTGTCTAAGCCGGGGTTACGCTTCATGACTTTTACCCCAATATTAGCACTGATTCTCAGTCTGGCTGAGCCTGTGCAAGTTGTCGGAGTCGCACTCCCGATCGCGTTTCAGACCAGTCGGAGCATATCAAACATGTTTGATTGTTTCGACCCAACTCTGAGCGTGATCAAATAGTGCATTCTGGTCAACGACTCAATCTGAACGGACTCCCCCAATAGCCAATGAAAACTGAGAGTGCAAAAGAAGAAAATACAACAAGCAAATAAAGAAAAATGGCAAAAGGTCACTCATGTGTGGAGCAAAGCTTTTGAATGAGCTGAGTTTAAGGCATGAGCACAATCGAGTTTATGTACATTTAAAACTCTAAAAACACAGATAAAAAAAACTGATCACTTAAATCCATGACCCTCACTTAAACATTTTTACTCGCTGCTTCCTTACTGTGTCAGGGCAAGCGGCAAAGAAAACAGCAGCAGCGATCAGATCCACATTTGTTTATTTGGGTCTCCTAGTACAAGGAGAACAGGAGAGTTTGCGAGTTTGCGAGAGTTTGCGTGAGTTTGCGAGAGTTTGCGTGAGTTTGCGTGAGTTCGCGAGAGTTTGCGTGAGTTCACGAGATTTTGCGTGAGTTCGCGCGAGTTCAGCAAGTATGCTGAAAAATGTGTTAGTCCTCCGCATTCTCATTCATAAATGCCACCACTGCTGTAATGTTTTCTCTACTATGACAACTTCCACTGCATTAAATCTGTAAGTGTGAAAAGGGTCCAGTAGCTGATCAGATATCTTCCTAGCCACCAATACCCAGTAGATCCCAACTGACAAAAGAAACAACTTGAGCTCAAATAAGCAAATATCACTCATTGCTCCTCATTAATGCTGTTATTGAACATCTCAGAATTTAGAACTTTTGTTGTTATCGTAAGATCCATAATGTGTCTCAATAAACGCATTTGTGTGCTTTATTTTATTTACTTGCATTTGCCCCAACCCTATTGAAGAAACTGACATTGTTGTGAGGCAAACGTAAGATTGAAAACTGTGGAAAACAACTGTGATGAGCTCAAATAATTGTGATCAGATGATTGTTACCTTTGTGACAGGCCTACCAAGCAGATTTTATTGTTTATATCCAAAAAAGAGACGCTAATTTCCTTCGCAATTCCTTTAAGTCTTGGACTTCTGGACTTCGTTCATATCCTTAAATGTGCCTCAGCATACACTAAAACTGCTGATCAAGAATGCTGGCATTGTAAAAGTAAGGTCCTCAAGTCGTCCGAGCCTCGTGGTGCATTCAGACGGTCCATGTTAACTCAATAAGTTAGAAAATAGTCACGACACCAAATCTTATTGACGAGTTTGCGTTTGGATGGTCACCAATTAACTAGTAAAACGCACCTGAAATATACCTATATCCAGTGCGGTGGAGCAATACCATGTATGCCTGGTATATTCACAAAGTATCAGAGATTATAATCATCACAAGTTAAGTAACTTGGGACTTGCCCAAGTTGATCACTTGTATTTTGAGTGCAACCTACCGGTGGAAAGTTTACAAGGACCATCTGAATGCACTATGAGTAGGTGAACAATAGCAACCGGCCCAGCCATTCCACACTCTGGTAAGTACACTTCAGTCAAGCACTCATTATTCAGAAAGAAGACTGTGGATGTGGATGGCCTCTATTCTACCAGTAAATTGGCACAGACAAAAAAAATTACATTCAATATCCAGTATATTTAAAAAAGAAAATCAATGAGGGGGGGATAAGTCACATTGTTTCATGAGAGAGTGAGAGACAGAGACAGAGAAAGAGAGAGGGGAGAGAAGTAGGTTGGGTAGGTTGTTGTTTATGCAAGAAAACAAGATGCCTTAGAAGTTAGAGGAAGTAGCCAGCTGTCCCAGTGCATCATGTGCAGCTTAAAGTGCAGAAACAGGAACCAGAATCATCCAAACGTGTTAGACAGACAGACAGACAGACAGACAGAGACGCAGACAGGTCACTGATGCAGGCATCACAAGTCTCATGCAGTGGCCAGTGCACTCGCCATACTGACCTTCAGGTCCCTGTGCACTATGTCATGTTGGTGAATGTGACTGACACTGTCTAGAATCTGATGGATGCAGTGACTGCGAAGACAAGACAGAGAAGGAGGGACAGAAAAAAGGAAAAAGGTGTAGATAAGACGAGGGGGCAAGGAGTGGGGGGAGGAAAGGGGTTAGTATTGTGGAGAGACGCTGGTGAAGGAGTACTGTGAGCTCTACAAGCACACTGATCGCTTTACATTGTTGCGTAAGTGGTTTGAAGCTACTGTGCTTGAAACATGAAGGGAGACAAAAGACAACATCTGAAATGCTGAAACCAGGTGGGGGAACCAGGTGGGGCAACTGACAAAGGCATGCAAGGTGGTCTGTTATTCAAAATAACAAGGGGTGTGTGCCGCTTTGTAAGGAATGTGATTCTCTCCGGCAAAGCTCAGCTGATTAAATTTTGATGTAAGAAACTGTACAGAGTGGGAGTGGAAAGGTTTGAGCGGTCCAGGCTTCAGACATTCATCCAGGTACATATATCCAAAAGTTTACATTGTCGCTTCTGAAATCAAGGGTATTAATTAAGCTTGTGAGATTGTATGTAATATAGCATCACACAATCGCGTGCCCTATCCATTGCCTATTGAAAAGAAAGAAAAAGGCCTGAGTGCGTTTTCAGTGCACATAGGAGAAAGTGTCTTACACTGTAAAAACGTGCTTGTGTTTCATATAACTTTGTTTAGTAAGGTTAGAAAAAAATCACTTTTATGGCCTATTAATCATGTGTTAAAATAATAAACTGGTAAAAACTTACTGCGTTAGGTTAGCCTACTGGCTACTGTTCCAGTAACTTACTATCGTTATAAGCCTGAGAAATTTGAAATTTTCTGTTAGCTTTTAACAACTCCAGTCAGTTGATGTTTATGTTTCCATGAGTACAGATCCACTTTTGGAAGGCTGCAGGATGGCTTTGTCTCTTTAGCAAGCACGACCACATAAAAAAAACTTTAAAATGCTACCTTGCGATGCTATAGAATGCTCTGAAGCCAGAAAATGTAACAGGACGGATATAAGATATGGACATATGGAAAACAACATAGAGAGACACATATGCTTTCCTGTGTATTCTGGCATTTAAATCTTCAGAGCCATCAGGATAGATGGAATATTTCAGCCTAATGCTGGGGAGGCTTTATACACCTTTAAACAATGTTTTGAATTGGCATAGGGCATCCTATTCTATTCGCTCTGCTTTTCTATAGAGATTATACACACTATGTGTGCACAATTCAACAGCTGTGTGATCAACACCACCTGAAAGTAGCCAAATTCACTAATAAGGGCTGTCTGACTAATGTTGTAACTATAATAGTGTAACTACTGTAGCGCAGGGGCGGAGCTTCCCAACATTCTCAGAAGTTTTGTTGGAGTCTCAGATTAATCAGCTGGTCTTCTTAAACAGTTTGAATAGATTTGGCTTTTTTATTTTTGATTTGATTTCTGTGTTATCTTATCCTCAGTGTGTCATTGCATATCTGTTCAGCATGTATTGCCATAACAAAGGGTGGTAGCTGATTAGTAGTTTAACTTCCCTCAACGTATTTTTGTGCATATTTTGAAATATAGAATAAAAAACACTTAACCGAAATGGCAAATATCTAAATGAATTGCCAGACCTTGCATTAAAGTTTGTGTGCACATTTGGGATGGATATATGTTTCCTGCTAAAAAAATAAATGCGATAAATGAAAATGCATTTGCCAAATAGATGTTGTAAATGCGAAAAAAAAAACAAAAAACATTTGACTGACCTATTGTTTCCTTTTTTACCCTGTCGTAGGAACGACAGGAAGCAACAGGTACCAGTGGACTAACAAACTATTCAAACAATTAATACGTACCTTTTTCTGACATTTGACAGTAAAAGAATATAAGTCCCCTGCCTTTGAGATTTCCTGAATAATGTCTGCCAGCATGTCTTGTCTCCACACACTTACGATGTAAAATAGCCATAAAATTAAACAAAACAGCAACGAGAAACTGCCCAACATGTTTTACTGCAAACTCGCGCCGCTCCGTATTTCTCAGAAGCGAATGTTTTATTCTCTTGCACATAACTGCTGGAAACCTAATTCACATAATTTCTTTTGCAACATAGCTGGATGGAAACCTGGCTACCGTTAGCTTAGCGTAAGAGAATGAAACCATTAAACCTTTAAAATCCTCAGAAATTAGTGATTCTCCTCACATTAGAGATATTTATTCATTACATAATAAAACAAGCCATCGCTCTACTGGTGAGATTTGTGTTGATTTTATCAGCCAAACAATGTATTGGTCAAGCTCCAGGTATATAGACCCACAAAATGATGCTAACCAGACAGATCCACAGTTTAAAGTGTCAGCAGTGTCTGTGGCTATTCTGTCTATAATAATAACACTTCTCTCTCTCTCGCTCGGATTTCTAAAGCTCTTAACTGTTCTGGTGAGAGGACTCCAAACAATAGCACTGAGGCTGGAAATTTAGATCCGTTGCGGGGGCGACGGCCAGTATCTGTGAGTAATAAACGAAGTGAATGGGATTTGTATGTGTGAAAAGGTGTGTATGTATTTGTGTGTGCGTATCTGTGTGTGTGTGTGTGTGTGGAGGAAGCTGACAGTGCTGGGTGTGTGGTGGTGGCTTGAGTCAGAGCTGGCACACTAATTATCTGTGTGTTAATTAGAGGCCTACTTTCAGCTCTCTCTAAGGAGGGGAGGCTGGGCCAGGGGACGCTAAAGCAAGCAGGTGCTGGGGGCTAGGGTGCGGCCCACAACGAGGGGTGGAGATGCTACTTTCTTCTGCCCTCAAGGGATATTTGAATAGATTTACCCATATATTTCTTTTTCAAGGCTAGCTGGCGAGCTGCTAGATGGGTAAAAGCCAAGCTACAACATAGCAGTGCAAAAGTCTATGAAATCAAAGTAAAAAGGCTATGAGCTCGTGGTGGACGAAACTAAAAATCTGCAAATGCTTCAATTTGCCAGCGACATTTCGTAAGCGAAATTACATTAATTTCAACAGAATTGGCGTGATGAGAGATTCTGCGTTGCAGACATCTGGGGCAAATCAATTTCGCATGTGAAACTTCACGTCAAGTTCAACTTTGGTAAACTTTGATATGCAAATTTGTATCGATAGGCAATAGTGCTGCCCTTTATATAGCAGCACTGAAGAAATAAAATGTTGGAAACACTAATTTAACCAGTGTCTTAGCATGAAACTTTACACATTTCTTCCCAAATGGTTCTAAATACACACATAAGAAAAGACGAATGCCACACTATCAGTGAGGATATTGTATTTTTATCATTACTTTTGTGATTTTACTCTTTGTAGTAGATGAGTAAGCAAACTTTCCAACTGTAATGTTAGCTCCTTGGCTAACCACAGCTGCTCACGAGTCACCCCAATGCCATGGAACGGCACCGGTTATCTTCACTTTTTTGCTACAGATCAGTGCACAACAATAAGCTGTGGCAAGTATACAGTTATCTGATAAAACTATGGTAAGCAATTTATCTAGCTTGCTGACTGCATTGAATTTTTTTCGTCGCCAATCTTCCAGACCAGCCTTGGTCATGTTTGTTATGCATGACAGGAATTAAGTGATAATTAAACAGACAGTTTAACAGCAAAGTGGAACATTTCTGTGATATTTTTGTTTTTCTTTTTTTTTGTTACAGTTGAGTATAATAATACAAAATTATTGTATTATTATTGTATTGTTATATAGAAAACTATATGTTTGGTACATGATTTAGAAATGCTAAGGATGTCACATCCTGTTTAATGTAACTTTATGGCAAATGTGAAGGTATGCATCCTGGTAAAATACTGTTTAACCCTTTCAAATCTGCAGTCTATTCTGAGACTTGTTTTTTTTACCCAATTATCTCCCCAATTTAGTCGTTTCCAATTCCACCCGCTAGTTAGGACTCCCCCAATCACACGATGCTATCACCGCTAGGAGGGTGAAGGCTAACACAGGCTTCCTCCGAGACCAGTGAAACCAACCACCGCTTCTTTTTCGAACTGCCGCTCACGCAACGTCACTGGACAGCCGAACGCGTTTGGAGGAAAGCGCCAACCGCCAGATCTGTTACGTCAGCTAACAGACGCCTGCGCTGACTGGCAATGTTCTCTTTAACTAATTTAAATCTCTAAGTTCTGTGGTGAGCATGTCCATGTTAGCAAGAGTGAAATGTATCACAGCCTTTAGTGTGATACTGTGTTTCTATCACTTTTTAAAAGATGCATGAGGTTTTCTTTACTGTAAGTGTGCATGCTCATTCAGAGCACACTTCAGATTCGGGAACAGTAAAATGGCACTGATGTGTGACTTACATTCCTAGTCATGTGTTTTCCTGTTTCAAAAGGTAGTTTGCCACACAAATAAAAATCTATAAATTTTTCTCTGTTATATCATGTTATTTACATATAAGCTAAAAACAGCAGTGAGAAATCAAGTAGGAAACTAGATTAAATGGAAGGAATCGGTATGTGTCATCCTTAAGGGGTTGAGAGCTGCAAGTGTGAATGATGCAAGGCATGAACATTAACAGTAAAGGTACGCCAGTAATTTACCGGGTACTGAGTGTGAAAAGGGCTTCAGAGTTTGACAGGTGTGTTATGCTGTGAAAATAATCTGTACTTCAGAAAACATCATCAACACTTTATCATCCAATTCTCTATGTAAAGGAAACATGTATACATTAACTACAAGCCTACTTCTGTCAAAAAACATTATCTGCAAAATCTAACAGGCCTCTTCTTTCCCCTTCCTCCAGTTCTTATATTGCTTCCCTTGGCATCTCCCTCTCTCTCTCTTTTTCTGTTTCTCACTGTGCATCTCACGCCCCCACAATACGCCCACGCAGTCAAATTGATTAAAGTCCCTCTCCTGAGGGGTACTGCAGTGTGTGAGCATGTGCGTGTGTGTGAGTGTGAGCGGCTAGGTGCAAGTCTGTGAGAGGAGACAGGCGTCAAAAAGAAAGGGGGGGTGAGATGGAAGTAAATGAAAGACAAGAAAAACAGAGAGGGGGGGGGGACCTGTGGAAGCAGATATCTGCCGGGTATGCGATGAGACGTTGACATAGCGCCACCGCCCACGCTGAAAATTGCCTGCCTTCTATGAGAGAATCGCTGAGCTACTGCTCAAAATATGATCGCACTGCTAGCGATCGCTTGGGGGAGGGGTGGTGCGATGACTATATGGGTTTTAATGTATTATGCCATACAATGTGTTACTGTAATATTTCATTTGGTATAGATTAAATTGTGTATTACTATGTAATCCTTACTACAACAAAAATATTTAAAAACATACACGTTACCACATTCATGTAATGTAACTGGAAGGAGGTAGAAATGATTTGAAGATACAAGGGGTAAAACAGAAGGGAGCTGCAGAAAAGGGGCAAAAAAGGGAGGCGAAAATGGAGAGAGCACTTTACCTGGCATCAGCTTCACTGTAATACTCTCTAGCTACAATGTCTTCAAACAACTCCCCACCAGTGACCCTATAAGAAAGGGAAAGAGCAAAGCCTCGTTTATATGAACGGTCATTTGTCATGCTGGGCACATAAAAGCTTTAACTGCAGCTTTTCTGCTTGGGAAGTGATGATGAGTGCAACTGGTTTCGACATAGAGATGACATTTTTATATGCTAGAGTGAGTGAGTGCTATGGTGTTATAGAGAGAAAGCGAGAGCGAGAGAGAGAGAGAGAGAGAGAGAGAGAGAGAGAGAGAGGGAGACTGCGAGCCGGAATGGATGGGGGAATCCTCTAGAAGAGACATCCCGGGGCTTCGGGGGGGAAGCCCCTGCTGCAGGATTCTCTTCAGCCGGGCAGCCCGACTCTGTTGCCATAGAAACTAGCTCTTGAGCAAAGGGGAGAGCGAGGGATGCTAAGGAAGGGGGGTGGGGGTGGGGAGGGGGGTAGCGGATGAGTGCAGAACAAACGGGTGGGAGCCATCAGACATGCGGCGAACGCAGATAGCAGAGAAAGGGACATATGGCGCAGGCAATTTTAATTATGTGCTGCATTCGGAACGTGCACTTACAAGTCAAACAGGAGGTAGTGGAAGCCTTCCTCTGATATACTGTCATGGAGTCGAACTGGGGAAGAAGGACAGAAATGAATGCATTATGCCTCCGGTCGTCCTCCGAGGCTGACAGGCGTGCGCTGTAAATGCTCTTATTCCATTTGCATAAATAGAAAAGTGGAGCTTAAGCACACAGTGTGCTAGGCAGGGAATAGCCTACTTTCCGTTCTCTCGTGGTCGGAGCTCAGCCAAGCTCTCTCCTGCTGAAACTGCAGATGCTCCTGCCTTGTTCTCAACTATGTGCCATTTGACTATGTTCTTAATAACACTGTTATAAACTATAATGCAATAAAGAATTTGAAAAGCTCATTTAAGAATGCGATAATTTGTATTAAAGACAATAGCAAGTCTGTGTTTAAGGAGGACACTCACCAATGTTGGGGTGCTTAAGAAGACGACAGATGCGGGCTTCACGTTCGAGCTTCTGGTGATCTGTAAGGACAGGTTCAGTCAAAGTAAAAATACAATCATAGGGGAAAGTAAGGTACAGCTACATGAACCACAGAGGTCTATTAAACCCTCAAACTCTAAGCTGATAGTTCAGGTATTAATCATAAGGCTTAGTATTTACTTAATTTTATGAATATATGAATTACTATGAACGCAATACTAGGTATGCAGTTAAAAGAGTGAAGAATTGAAGCCTGGAGTTCCTGACAGTCTATTCAAAATGACCAGCGAACCTACACATCTTCTGAGTTTTTATATGTAATGTTGATAACGGCAAAATAGTGGTAAGTCTAAAAAAGTGCTTTTAAATGGAATGGTTTGTCTCCCAATGCCTGCATGTAACTGTCATGAATGTTTTTAAAAACAAAAATTAAAGCCAAAACCCTTTCTCAATACTGCTGTAAAACAATGTCTCATGCAACAGGCAACATATTCATAGCCATTTGTGTAATAACTTTTTCTGAGGAAAGTTTTATAGGCTTTAAACGCCTGATTCCTATCACCACCACTGTGAACAATTCTGTTTTGGTTTCTCTAGACTGGTGTATCTCATATCAAATCATGCTTAACCATTTAATTATACACACATGTATATGTGGAATATGTGGAATTCCCTTTTGAAAATGATTAAAAACAATGTAACACAACAACTATGAACTATTCTCATGCTTCTGTACCATTGTATGTTTCAGACAAAATTCAGCCAACACCCTCATTAAAGACAACATTATAGCAACATTATTTTACAACCACTGTTAGCCACATTAGCATTGTTCAGATCAACACCTCACTGCATACTGCTCCAGGGTCTGAGGTGGGCTGCATCTACGCGACGGTGCAGAGATACTACAGCATTATGTCTTAGTGCACAGCAGAACACCAACAAAGCCAGCAAAAAAACGCTGAGGTTACTGTGGTATAACGGCTAAGCGAAAGAACCACTGACAGAGTGTGGGAGGAAATCAGTGAACGCTCCCTACCATGAATAAAGATGAGGTTTACTCAACTGGCTCTATTGTTTGAACTTACAATATGTTGGATTGCATCTAGTGAGCGTGATTTGACTACGCTGAGTTACGACGCAAAGAGATACATGCAAAGCACTGTGTTGCAGGAGTTATCAGAAAAGTGCTGCATCAGAATGCTAACATGTCAGAAAACAGCAGAGCAAAACCGACACTAGATGTCAATTTGTTAAAGGTATATTATCAGTTCTTTCTACTACAGCATGGTTTCAGGCGGGCTTACTAAAATACCAGCTGAGTACTGTACATACATTGGCTATAGATAAGCTAAGGTCTAATAAGCGCATTAACTGCTGTTCATTATTAGGCCTCTAGTAAGGAACTGTAGTTGAAGGTCATGGCAGGACAAATCATTTGAGCAGCTCCAAAATAGAGAGCGATCGTTCATAATTTATAATGCGTGCCCTGTCGAAGCCCCTCAAGGTTCTTTTTTTAATCGGCCTGTGCTAGTATGACGTTTCTTCCTGTTAAGCTGCGCCCGGCAGCTCCAGTGACATACGCAGTTCCTGCTGTGTGCCACTGTTGCCATTCATACTGATCCTTGCTAAAACCTGGCTTTAATTAATATATGGAAGCAGAAAAAAATTGGTCTGCAGTCAGTAAACAAAAGAAGAAACTCCTAGCAAAGGCCTAGGAAATGATCAACACTTCTACCAAGTGAAATCGGTTAAATGATGTATTGTTTTTAAATCAAAATTGCAATTTGAAGGAGCAAGTTTTTTAAATCAAAACAGCTGCGATTTTAATCACAAATTATTAAGAACATTGTCAAATTATTAACAACAAACTTATGATGCGTATGCACATAGCCAGAGCTATTAAACATTCAGCATACAGACACAAGAAAAATGAATATGGTAATCTTCCTAGATAAAAGAGCCCAACGAGACCTGACCCTGAATATTGTGTGTACTGACGAGACATACATGCCACCAACGCAAGAACTTTTAGGTGGATGGAAATGAACAGTGCTAGCATATATGCTAATGTTAGTTTTACTTACTACTACAAGAATTCTCATTTCAACTAGCTCCTAGCTTCCACACAGTCATATAGCGTGTAGCATGACATTCAATTCATATATTTTTGATGCTTTTGATAGGCATAGATTTGAACCGTCCTAGTTAGCACTAAGTGCTAGCAGGCTAACAGACCCACACACTAGCGATGCAGGACTTTCTGGAGTTGACTCCACATCTTGACTCCTGCCCCTGAAATTGATGGAGTCAACTCCTTGACGCACAGCACCAGAGCTGCTGATAAAGGGATATAGTTGATGTAACGACGTAGCTATTCACTGATTGGTTCTATGTTTATGTCGGTATTGTGCCACTGCATTCTGCTGTGTTATTTCAAACCCAAAAACAATCAAATAAGTACAGTTTTCTCACAGAGACGCCACTTAAATGAAAGGAGTGCATGATTTTAAATCGACTATTCAAAAAGGGTTAAAGCTTTATTCTAACACCAATTTCTTAATGTTAACCAATGCTGCTAAGCAGGATTGAGTTGCTGGTTAGCATTAGCTTAGGCTGCCATCACTGCTTAGCACAGAATAGTTTCAATTCTGACTAACAAAAGCTTTACCGACACAAATTTAGATGATAATGACTGAATTCTGAGGAACCGAAGTCGATCGGCTGACACTGGAGTGACAGAAAGCCGAAATTAAACCTGTTCTGAGGTGTCAGGCGCTGTAGCCTCCTAGCTAAGCTAATGCTAGCTGGTTCCTCTCTCCTAACTAGCTTAGCTTAGGTGAGGAAGTCCTATCACCTCAGTACAGATTCAGTTCTACTAACTGGTGCTCTGATATTGCAAATGTAAATGGTAACTTATAAAACTTATAAAATTATAAAAATGAGAGCAAAGTTAACTGATTGGTGTTGGAGTGACACAAAGCTAAAATCTACCTGTTCTTTACTGTTTTAAGCTGTAGCCTGCTAGGCTAAGGTAGTGGTGCCTCCAACCGCAGTACAGGTTCAGTTTCAGCGAACCAATGCTTGAAAACATCCATTTAGAGGATAAAGGCTCATATCTGAGATCACAAATTTAAATAGCTGCTGTTAAAGTGACAGAAAGACAAAAAATAGACTTGTTCTGTGGTGATATGAGCTGTATCCTGCTGGGTGAGGCTAATGCTAGCGTAGTTAGCTGGCTACACGTGCAACACACCTCAGTACAGGCTCATTTTCAGTAACTGATGTGCAAATAACACCCATTTACAGGATAAAGAATCTGAGAGCACGCTGAGTGACTGGTGGTGGAGTGACAGAGTCAGTGTTGTGGTGGGTGCTGTGTGTGTAACTATTAGCCTGTTACCAGTAAGACAATCTTTTGTATAGTTTTTTTTTGCATTTCCTGGTTCTGATTCAGTAGCACAAGAGATGGAATAAGAAATCGTAACCAGTCTCTCGAGTCCACACCAACACAGAATGGCACAGTACAGTACTTAGAGCCTCAGACTCGTTTCTGCATTGCATGGCGCTCCAGCCCATTACGGTGAGAAAACACGAGTCAAAGAGTCGATTCCAAGCATTTTGGCTCTTATATCCCAACCACGATTCTTTTGAAACCGACTCCCCATCACACATCTACCACACATCACAGGGCAGGTTTGATTTCGGCAAACAAAAGCTCCTTTGACAAAAGCTTAGAGAATAAAGGCTCTTCACTCATCTGAGGGCATGAAGTTGAGTGATATTTGGGCCTGAGAATAACAGAGTCTAACTTGTTTTGGGATATGCCAAGGTATTAGCCTGCTGGCTATGCTAACTAGTAGGCTAACAACACAACACAGGTTCCATTCCTGCCAATGAATGCTCCGCTTAAACTGAAGTATAAAGAACAAAGACTGAAGTATGAGGGAGCGAGTCAAGTAACCGGTGTTGTAGAAGAAGCTGGCCAGAAAATATCCTGGTCTGTGGAGCTATCAGCCTCAGCTAGAGGCTTGCGCAACCAGCTCCACTCTGCGGTTTAACATTTCGTAATTGTTGTTAGATAAAAGATGTAACATTTATTAAGCAATGAGTCTAGAAAATGGTTAATGATGTTGTTTATATTGCTTTAAAGATTTTCCAATTGCTTCAGATCAAGCCCCTCAGCTGTGCTCCTATGAGCAGTTGTGCGCTCTTGGTGTTTCATTTATATGGATTAAGTTTGTTTCATAATTATTAAATCCACAAACATAAAACGAGATGCACAAATAAATAGTATGTAATTCCAATCACAGCAAGTATGTGCTCAACCAATCAGCTCAAGCCTTACAGAGCATCAGGGACGGAGTAATATGCGCAGCTCCAGCGCAGCTTGGATTGCAGCAGGCAAGATTTTCAGGTAAGTTTGCAGAACTGTTCATGCTTGGGATGATAAAACTAGACTATTTAAGCTCAACTAAAAAGAACGGAGAATTACTTAGAGAGATAATGAGGAGCGAACACGAAAGAGCTTCCTTCATTTCCTTTTACTGTGCAAATGAATGTATAGCTAAGTTAACTAGCTAGTTAGCAAACTTCACATTGACTGAGCTCAATGAGAAAAGGAGAATATGTCGTTTTTTCAGCGTATTTTGTACAAAGAGTTCACTCTCTTTGCAACTTGCTTACTGGCAATCAACAGTCATTAATTAATTTTATTTGTACTATTCCATTAGTTTTTCAGAGAAACCAATAGGGTAACTTAGATGACCGCGTGTGAAGACTTGGCACTTTGCACATCAGTTTACTAGCTGACTAGCTGACCAGTAAAAGCTGACAACTTTAACTAGTTATTTTAAAACTAGGTTATTTGCAGTCTTAGTAATTTCTTTGTCTACAACTGTGGTTAATGTTATCGTTTGTCAAGCTGAATGCTGACACCTCTCAACCATCTACCCCCTTAGTGTCATAATGGCACTAGTCTAGCCTGTAGATATGCTCTAAAATGACTGTTTCTGTAGGGCCTCTCAGCTGAGGTAGAAAA